TAAAGCATATTCCTTAGGAGATAAGGATTGCTACAAATAAAGGGGATGATTATCCTAATCCTATAATGATTAGGATAACTACAACATATGGATAAACACAAGGGAGGATAGTGACTGATGCTTGGCCGCCTGGTATGGTACTGATATGGTCTGGTCCATTTCCGGATATGTCCCAACCACCATCTTCATTTCTTAACAGCATTAAATAGAAAGGGCCTATTTATTTATTAACCAATTTGCTCTCTAGACAAAACCATGTTCCTATCAAACTCACGATGTCATGTCTCTCTACTTAACATCAAAAACTACCACATCACATCTCTATCCACACACATATAATTGCATTTCTTTACGTGTGAGTTTCAAACTAAATTAAAAAAAAAAAGTGGTAAGAGCTAGAAAATAACATCACAACCACTGCAAGTGCCTCCGTTCAGTTCTAACTGGGGAAAGCAAGAACAGATGCATAGAGAGACATGATTCAAACAATACTATGCACAATGATACATGTCAACAGCATTAACAGATTTACCTGAAAATAGACAAAAAACAAACAGGCCACAATGTGATTACACGATCCAAGACAGATGAGATATATTGTATTTTCTAATGATGAAGAAAACCTGTGCTTCACTCATTGGTTCACACGTGACGTGGATAATGACATGATAACACACACATGAAAGAAAGAACATGTCTCGTGACGATTACACATCAACAAAAAAAAAAAAACAAAACGATAGACTGCACACAAAGATGGTTCGATTCTGTTTTTGGACCGGTTCTACAGTTCAGTCATCATAACCATGAAAAGCAAGAAGAACAGATATGTGGAGAGACATGAATGAAACAAATTTTGGTGCACAGTGATACATGTGAACGGTAGTAAATAAACATTCAAACAAATAATGAATAGTGAAAACATCTACACCACTTGGGAAATGCAACGCAAAACCAAAGCTTCTCTCTCTCTCTCTTTGCATTGTCGTGTGAAGAAGATAGCTGGATTTGTCTATCACTTGTGCTGTCAATAGTATGAACGGATTTACCTGAAAATAGAGAGGGAAAAACAAATCAGTTTTTTTTTTCTGTTACTTGTATATATACAGAGAGTGAATCTATGTGAAGTGTTACCTGAAAACGGACCAGAGACATTGTCAGCAGCTTTTACACAATCTCCATGTTGCTCTGTTTTTTCTTGTTGGACTTGGGAAAGAAGCACATCTGGACCCAGCTCTTCTTCGGCTTAACCACTAGTGATTTCGCGTTTCTCTGCTCCACAAGATCATTCATGTACTGAACAACGGCCTGTAACCAGTATGAATCATCCATAAGTGAGAGTACCATTTAAGCAAGTCCAGAGAAAAGGAGAGAGAGAGAGAGAGCGAACCTGAGGGCCTTTTTCAGCTACATCACGAGGAGGAACTTGTAGTGGATTCTCCTGAGCATGAAAGACACGCAGCTTTGTAAGCATCCTAAACGATTCCGGAAGCACACGGATCTGGTTATTGCTTATATCAAGCTCTTCAAGCACCTCAAGGTTCCCTATCGACCTCGGTAACGACACCATATCAGCAAAGTTGTTCCCAACATTCAGCTTCACAAGCGTAGTGGCGAAACACAAACTCTCTGGTACAGCCTCAAGCTCGTTGAAACTCACATCCAGCTCTTTAAGACTAGCCAAAGAAGACATGGTCGTTGGCAACTGTCTGATGTTATTGTAACGAACAGACAAGATCTCTAGAGTAGTTATCTTCCCAATAGCTTCAGGAAGAGCCTTGAGCTTGTTGTAATCCGCACGGAGTTCTTTAAGTGAAGAACATCCACCGATGGAGTAAGGGATCTCTTCAATATAATTTGTCTCAACGTCGAGCTTCTTGAGGCTCACAAGTGAACCGATGGATTCAGGGAGGACAGGGAGGTCGTTGCAGCTCAAGTTAAGCTCCTCGAGCTGCAACAACTTGCTGAAGGAAGAAGGCAGAGATGATAACTGGTTACCACTGAGATTTAGGTAAACCAAGTTGATCAACTCTCCGATAGACTCAGGGAGATTGCTGATTCTATTGGAACGCAAATCTAGGTTTGTCAAGGAAGAGAGTCCTCCTATTGTGTTTGGTAACACCACAATGTGGTTTTCAGACATGTCGAGTGATGTTAAAGTGGATAACTTGCCGATAGAATCTGGTAGCCACTCGACTTGTGTAGATAGTTTGTTCTGTAAGTTCAGCTCTTTGGTAGCTTTCTTGGCTGATACCTCAATTAAACTAGCAAGCTTGATTAGACTCATCTTCTCACCATCATTGCCTATACATAAACAAAATAATTCAAACAAGAGTTACTAAAAAAAAAAAAAAAAACAAGAGTTAGTAAAACACATGGTTATTCTAAAAATAGGTCTAGACAGCTGAATTAGTACAAATAATCCAATTTATACAACTTAACTAGTGGTTTAAACTGTCCAAATCAATTTAAAATTAGTTTAAAATCGATCTAAACTAGTTAAAATTGTTAAATAAGTAACATTATTCGTATAAATACACATTTCTTTGGTTTTTTTATATCTAAGTTCATAATTTATCATAATAATGTATAATTGAGCTCAAAAACTAAAATATTTTATGTAATAATTAGTTAACCCTAACCCTCCACTGAATAATCCATTTAATCTAATCATATCAATTTTTGAACATTTCTAAAACATAACTCGTGTTGCTCAATCTCTGGTTCCTACACTTTCCATTTCTAGAAAATCCAAAGTTCGAGTTAAAGAGAGGAGATGAGTTAGCTCACCGGAGAATTTTCCGGCGGTAAGTGATGAATCCACAATCTGAGGTGTTCTCGGAGCTACAAAACCATCACCATACAGAGAAGGTTTAGCTTTACTCACGAAGCTATCATCTCTTGAAACCATCTCCTTGGGACGAGCAGGCGTCTTCTCGTTAAAATACAAACCCGAAGGAGCCACCGGCGTCGGAGCACGCTGCGGAGGACGAGACGACGGAGCAGAGCCGTTAGAAGAAATACAATCAGAAGCTCTCTGAATGAAATCATCAAACAAAGAATGAACAGTTTCCAGATCGAGAAGCTTCACAGCTTCTCTAATCTGTTCTTTGCTACGAAACCGAACAAAGCCTTTCTTCATCTCTTGCAAGACGGTGAAAAGGTCGTTAGGTACATCAGAAGGTTTCCTCTGGTTAGCAATGGCTTCTAACCAAGATTGGTCTTCCTTCTCCACGTTTTGGATAAGAGACCTCGCGGCTTCGACCTCGTCGAGTCCTGGTCTTGGTGGTAAAGATCTGTGAATTCTCATGATTTCTTCAACCACTTGCTCCGTCGTGTCAAGACGCTTATCTAACTGCAAGAAATTCATTATCTCTTAATGTTTTTTTTTTTTTTTGTGTGTGTGTGTGCTGAAAGTGTCGATTTTTAAGTGAGAGAAAAGGAGGAAAAAGAGATATAGAGAGAGTTTATGTAGAAAGACAGAAGAGGTTCTTGTTTCGCCTCATAAAGACAGCTGTTTCCATCACTCTTTAATTTTTTTTTTTTTTTGTGTGTATGTGTTGTGTGTTTCTACTCTTCTTCTAGTTCCTTCCTTCCTTCCTCAGTTCATCTTCTTCTGTTTCCATCCGAAATAATTAATTACTACTTTTTTTAATCTTCTCACCCAAGGAAAATACAATAATTATTTAAGTATAATTTCCTACTTGATTAGCATTATCATTAAAGGATATTTTCTTATGTTTTTAAATGCGACGGGAATAACGTGAACCGTGGGATTGTGACTTATTGCTTATCTGTGGATTTTTTGTATATCACGTTATTCCCATTTTTTTTCTATGTATACACAACTTTTCTTCTAGTATTCTCCACGTATTTGTATCGTATATCTTGGAAAGTATCATTAACTCATTTCGAAAAAGAGCATTATGTGCACTATATACTTGCGGAGATTAATGCCTGTTTCCATTTTCATGTCTCCAAAAGAGTCATTCTTCATTACCGTTAGATATTTTACTTGGAAGTTGGAAATGATAATAGGGATCATCAAAGATAACTAAATAGGCCCATTATGTCCGTATGAAGGATAAGCATCGAATAACTCAATGTACTCCATTTTGCCCTGTTTTTTTGTAAGTATATAAATATAGTACATAGTCTTGTTTATTTTTCTCGAATTATATATTTATTTTTTACCCAAATAATAAAATATGATTAATCAGAAAAATTTATTGCTAAACATGCGGAAGAAAATAATTATTTATATACACTATAGAAAATATATAAATAACGTGAAAACTGAAAATAAAAGGAAGAGACTGGGGAGAAATAAAACAACAGTGAACAAAAATAAAAGGTAAAAGTAAAAGCGGAGAGGCGAAAAAAGAAGGTGAAAGAGAAGAACGCCATGTGTGAGGTGGGACACGTGTCGGTGATAGGGTCGGATGATGTGTTGTCCTTTAACCTGGATCCAGCTGTCACGTTCACAGTCCCCACTTGAGCGAATACGCATATGCAGATGCATATCTGAGGCTGGTGATATATGATCTTAATTTCTGTTAAACTATTTGAAATTATGTCTAAATCTATTTTTATATTAAGAAACACACAATTATTTGATGGAAAACCCATAGTTTAGTATAAAAACTAGTGTGTCAGGAAGTCTCAGGCTGTTTGGATATATAAAGAATTTAAAACAGTATAGAAAGTGTATAAAAATAACAGAACTTTCTTTACATGCGCTCATGGTTTTAGTATTGCAAGTTGTGTTAGACTTTAATACTAGGAAAATAAAGTTATGCTATATATCATGGTAATGTCAGGTTTTCTGGTATAGTGAAGCGTTGCGATAAACTATGCGTACATGAGGCAGACAACACATGGTGAAATCTTGGTCGGAATTTAAACAACGCTAAAGAACCTATACAAAACATATAGTTTTATTCAAATGATACAAGAAACCCTCCTCGAAAGGAAACACTTTACAAAACATAAAAGACGAAGACAAATTAAACGGCCATAATCGACCCACGACCTTTTTTATCCTCTGCGTTTGTAAGTGGGTTAAACACACGAGTTGATAGATTCAGACAGTGCTTAAAGTAATCTATTTATATATTACTGGATTCAACGTTCTCTATTCTTTTCAATCTAGTTGGCAGTTCGGTTTTAAAAATTATATATTGCTAAACAGCTACTAAAACATTGATTGAAATGTATAATTTTCTTTGTAATCTAATGAAGTAATGTTATACTCGAAAAGATGCTTGAATTCTGTTTAAGAAATTCATCTTTGATTTTTAGTCGTATACTTTATTGAAAAGTCTAAAGACAAAATCAAAAACAAAAAGATAAACGGCCGACACAAGAAGAAAAAATAAACTGCCGAAGATTTTGTTTGGTTTTGTAGCTATAAAGTAGAGAGATTTAATTCAACTATTCAACTCATAGTTTTAAAATCTTCGACTTTGATGTAGTATTTTACATTTATCGTCGCTTTCCTCTCACCATAATAAATTTTGACTAATCTTTTTATATCTTCCTATGAATAAACTTTGTAGGAGATTCTCTTTTGGTGGTCGCACACATTGCTTTACTTTAGAGGAACGACGTCATCTGCTCAAAACACCCTTCACACTTCACATCTCTTTCTGACATCACCATAAAAGTTTCAAACCATCATCTCCTCTTAATAACCTGTGACCATAAATTCAAAAGCTTCTCGAAGCTATGATGCCTACCTTCAATTGGCTGATGGCTCGGCTCCAAGATCAGACAGGTCGATTGTCTTTCCAGAAACACATTTTTGGATTACAAGACAACATAATATTCTAAGTTGCATTAATAAGTAGTGTTGGACAAGTCATAGTTAACTGAATATATACGCACGCAAAGGCAATAAGAGGGCGTCAACCACAGCTTCCATCATTTATTAATTGAGCTACATGATGTGGAAGTATCTAGAACTCAATAACAAATTTTGGGTCCTGCAGTGAAAACAGGACACTACAAACCATAAATCAAATCATCGACTGCTCTTTCTTTATTGACTTTTAATGAAAAATCAAAATCATTCATAAGAGACAAATTTAGAGCGAGATAGACGTTAACAAAACACAAATAAACAAGAAAAAGAAGCATACAAAAGCTTGTGAAATTGGTTCAAGACACAACACAAGACAAATCCTTCGAAGATAATATGATCTTAGAGCTTCCTTTGACCCACGATCAAAGGAAAGCATCCTTCTCGAGCAGCTTCACCACCTCGAGCTGGTTGTTGAGCTTGGCCACATCAGTTGGTGTCTTCTCGTCTAGGTTTTGCAGAGTCCTGCAACCACAAAGACACATATAAATCAAGTCTCGAAGAAGTTTTTCAATGAAGTCGTTTCTCCATAAAGTGTTGTGTTCTACGGCTTACACTGCTGCACCATTCTCTAGGAGAAGGCTAACACACTCTTTCCTCCCGTAACCAGCAGCGTAATGAAGAGGTGTGTTCTTGTTCTTGTCAACCGCGTTAACAGTTGCTCCAGCATCGATAAGAACTTGAGCACATTTCAACTGTAAGAGATCAACAGGGTGGTCAATCTCCATTCAAATCCAATAGTTACAAACAAAACGTCAAGCATAGAAGTAATCGACAATTCCATCTCATTGTTCTTTCACTAAATATTAAATCATGGTACAAGTGATTTGTGTCATGAAAAGGCGTGCGTGTATATAGTACAAGTGATCATATAAAGATACTTAAAAGCCAAATATTATATTGCCCTGAACTAATAAAGACTTGCATACCTCGCCGTATCCACAAGCAAAATGCAATGCTGTCCTTCCTTCGGAATCTTCTTCATCTTTGTTACCACCAGATTCCAAGGCAGCTTTCAAACCCTAATTGAATAAACAAATAAACCCAATAAAGAGCTCAGCAAAACAGATTCTGACTGAGAAAATGGTAAAAAATTCTGCATGTTCTACCTAACCCTCAAGCCACACAGTATGATAAAATCACAAAATAGTCAAGCATATGAAATTTTAACAAAGAAGGAAGCAGTCTAACCTCAACATCACCAAGACTGGCAGTTTGATGAACAATAGACTCTTCTTCTTCACCTTCTTCTTCTGCTACCTCAGGTTCAGCTGAAGCAGTCTGGTCTGGCAAGCCAGCAATAGGCATACCCATTGCTTCACCAAGCTTCTTCAACACATCTTTATCATTCCAGTACCTAATAACAGATAAAAAAATGCTCAATCCATAAGCAAAAACACGCTTTGCAACTCCTATAAAAGCATTTTAAGAAAAAAGTGTTGTAAGACTAACTTCATCATGGCAGAAGGACCACCAGCATCAATCTCATCAAGAATAGGTTTCAACTCCGGATCCTCTTTCATCCGCGCCATACGCTCAGTAAAGTGCTCAGCTGTTTCAGGGTTGGAGAATGCATCCAAAAAGGGAGACATTTGTGGATCCTGAAAGCAAAATAAGAGATTGATTCAAAAGACATGCCTCTCTCTCTCAATATAACCAAATATATAAATCCTAGTCTTATTCACCTGGACTAAGGCTTGACCAAGACGCTCAGCCATAGTCTGAAACTCTGGGTTATGCATAACCTGTTGCATTGTGCTCATATACTGTTGAGGATCAATGTTAGGGAAACCACCTCCTCCTCCTGCTCCTCCTTCAGGGATAGATCTCTGAAGCTGCTCAGCCAATTGGTTAAAGGCTGGATCTTTAGCAATCTGCTCAGCCAATTCTTTGATGCTTGGATCCTGCCGAAAACAAGGAAAACCACTATAAGTAGAAAGCTCAAAAGAAGACAAAACAACGAGAAAGAAAAGGGCCACATACGTTGAGGATACCAGCCATGTTTGAGAAATCAAAAGCATTGAAATTGAGACCAGCAGGGTTAGCTGCTGCTGAAGGTGAACTCCCAGAGGCTGCTGATTCCTGTTTAGGACTCTTCGATTCGGTTTTCTCATCTACAGTGAAAAAGAGATACAATTTTCTCTAAAGAAATTATACAATTCAAAAATCAGATTTGGATGAGAAGAAAATATTACCTGAAGGTGGCGGCGGAGTTTTCTCTGGATTTGAAGCCATTAGATCAAACTTTAAACCCTAGAACCAAAAAAAAACAATAGATTCAGAATCAAGCATGCAAATATGTAAATATAATCGTGGAAGAAGATGGAGAGACGGAGGCGAGACCAATCAAACAGAGACGAGTAGAGCCAGAAGGAGAAGAAGAGATTAGCCCGAGAAGACAACGTTGTGGTGGCAAACGCACAAGAATGACGAAAACTTACAGATAATCAATTTTTTTTTTTAATTTTAATTTTAATAAAATAGTATTTTTATATTGTCAGCTGTAATGGATTGGATTCTAAAGAAGACGAGAGACCAGCCACTTGCTTCTTTTGCACCTATTGTCTTTTTTTTCTTTCTTTTCTGTTTAATAAAAAAATAATGTAGGCCCAAATGTCTACGCTATTTAGGCCCGGCCTCCTTTATAGGCCCAATATCATTGTAAATCCTTTTATGATTGTAAATTTGATAAAACCGAACAAATCGAATTAACCAATATGAACCGGAATTAATTAGCTGACTTGTATGGAGGAGACTGAGCCACGTCAGATTAATGATCCGTTAAGATCCAATCATCAGTTAATGGATAAAACACACGTCACTTCTCGGAAGCAGGCCGTTCATGGCAGCCACGTATGCACTCTGTGCTGCTGCTCTCCGATCTCCCTTCCCTTCCCGGAGATTCTCTCCGATTCACAAAACCACCGCTCCTTATCACTTCACTCTCCTCCCTCCGCCGTGTTCGTTCCGTTCCGTCAGAATTTTCCCGCGTTCTCTGGCGACGAAGCAGCAGGTTGATCAAAACGACGCCGGATTCGATCAACCTCCGTCGCAGGAGCTCGCGATAGTGTCTGCATGTTTAGTCGGAGTCCTAACCGGAATAAGCGTGGTTCTCTTCAACAACTGCGTTCACTCCCTCCGAGACTTCTCATGGGACGGGATTCCAGATCGTGGAGCCTCGTGGCTCAGAGACGCACCGATCGGTTCAATCTGGCTACGCGTCATACTCGTTCCCACTCTCGGAGGTTTGTTAGTCAGCGTCCTTAACCATCTCCGTGAATCCGCTTCTGAAGAAGATTCTGATTCCGCTCTAAAGGCAGTGCTGCGTCCTTTCCTTAAGGCCGTTGCTGCATGTGTGACGCTTGGGACGGGGAACTCGCTGGGTCCTGAAGGTCCTAGCGTTGAGATTGGAGCGTCGATTGCGAAAGGAGTTAACTCTGTGTTTAATAAGAGTCCTAAGACTGAGATCTCGTTACTTGCTGCTGGCTCAGCTTCTGGAATCTCTTCTGGTTTGTTGTTGTTCATTACTTTGGGATTGAATTTGATAAGGAGATAATGATTCATTCTTTTATGATACTCTTTATGTTACAGGGTTCAATGCAGCTGTTGCTGGGTGCTTCTTTGCAGTTGAATCTGTTTTGTGGCCTTCATCGAGTGATGACTCATCAACATCACTTCCAAATTCAACTTCGATGGTTATTCTTAGTGCTGTTATTGCTTCTGTTGTTTCTGAAATAGGTTTGGGATCTGAACCTGCGTTTAAAGTTCCTGACTATGACTTCCGCTCTCCTGGAGGTAACAATATCTTATGCTTTCATCCTGAAAAATTGCAAAGATGGAATGAGAACTGTTTTTACTGATTTGCAGAACTTCCGCTTTATCTTTTATTGGGAGCTCTGTGTGGTTTGGTCTCGTTGGCGTTATCTCGATGCACATCTTCCATGACTTCTGCTGTTGACAGTCTTAACAAGGACGCTGGGATACCAAAGGCTGTGTTTCCTGTAATGGGTGGTTTAACTGTTGGTGTGATAGCTTTGGTGTACCCTGAAGTTTTATATTGGGGTTTTGAGAACGTTGATATTTTGTTGGAGTCTCGTCCGTTTGTGAAGGGCCTTTCGGCTGATCTTTTACTTCAGTTGGTTGCGGTTAAGATAGCTGCAACTGCACTGTGTCGTGCGTCGGGACTGGTGGGAGGATACTATGCTCCTTCTCTGTTTATTGGTGGGGCGGCAGGAATGGCCTATGGGAAGTTTATTGGCATTGCCTTGGCTCAGAATCCTGGAATCCAGCTCTCTATCCTCGAAGTGGCATCTCCACAAGCTTATGGTCTGGTACTGTTCTTACATTTGTCAATGTTTTTTTCAGAGTCTTTTTTTTTTGCCTTGGATTCATTGCTAATGATTCTGTTCATGTGATTGTTTTACAGGTTGGAATGGCTGCAACGCTTGCGGGTGTTTGTCAAGTTCCTCTTACATCAGTACTATTGCTATTTGAACTTACACAGGACTATCGTATAGTGTTACCCCTACTGGGAGCTGTGGGGATGTCTTCATGGATTACATCTGGACAGTCAAAGAGACAAGAAACAAGAGAGACAAAAGAAACTACGAAAAGAAACAGCCAAGAATCTGTACATCCCCTGACGACATCTGAAGAAGGATCATCAACGAGCAACCTTTGTGAAGTTGAAAGTTCTCTTTGCGTAGATGATTCAAGCATCCAAACTGAGGAGATGCCAAGGAGTATCTTCGTTTCAGAAGCCATGCGAACAAGATTTGCCACAGTTATGATGAGCACTTCTCTGGAAGAAGCAGTAACTCGTATGCTGATAGAGAAACAATCCTGTGCGCTGATTGTTGATCCTGACAATATCTTTCTCGGTCTACTTACACTTTCAGACATTCTGGAATTCAGCAAAGGAAGAAAAGCAGGAAACAAAGAACCCAAGGTATGAATTTGAATAAGTCTGTTCTTGCCTCAACATCTGAAAACCAGTTTCTATCTTGTGGTAACCTGATCAAATACTGGAACAATTTTCTCTGACTTTAGGAATTTTTGGTTCATGAAATATGTTCGATGAGCGGAAGAGCATGTAAGGTGCCATGGACTGTTACACCTGATATGGATCTTCTGGCTGCGCAAACAATCATGAACAAACATGAGATTTCTCATGTTCCAGTCGTTTCGGGCAGCATCGATTCTCGCAGAATACACCCTGTTGGGGTCCTAGATAAAGAATGTATCACTGTAACACGCAGGTATGCCTTCACCTATATTCCCTCAGTTAGTTTCTTCACGTGGAAGTGTTTTTTTTTTTAACTTCTCCCATTTCACCAAATCTTCGAGACTTCCTATACCTTGTGTTGCCAAGTTTCCTGTACTGGATTGAAAGTAATTTTACTTGCAACTTTTTGTTTGCTCAACAAAGCCAAGGAATAAGTAGCAAATCTGATCTGAGGCATTTCTGCTTTTGCCCTGTGTAGATGTTGGCACTGGAATTGGTACTAGTTTTTCTAAACAAGTTTCTTTTGTTTGATCTGGCAGAGCTCTAGCAACCAGAATGTTCCTCGACTGAGTCAAATTCTCCGCATTCGTAAATGGGGTTGCTTTGTAGCTTTTATTTAAGCTGACCAGGATGATTTCAATCTTTTTCTTCTGCGAGGGTCGGAGCTATTATTTTTGTTCCTTGTATTAAGAGATTCGGGGGAGAATAAATAGAGTTGACTAGTGCAGGCATGGATAGAAGTTCGTCTGCTCCATCTGTTGGTTGAAATGGTGGGAGCTCCCATGTCCGGTTAAGTTGCTGAGCAATCCAAACAAGGAAGGGTACTCAGAAAAAATCTTTATACTTGTACAGACTGTCACTAATTCGTTACTATCTTATCTCATTATATACAGATTGTCACTGTTCCTTTCTCAATTTTGTATGTTCTGTAAATTGCTACTTGGCTTATATATCACACTGAGAAAGTTCTTACTATTTGAAGACTATGATGATGAGTCTATGATAATGCTAACATTTTTCTTTGGTGTCCAAGAAAATTCCTAAAGAAATCCAATTTTTAGGAAAATGAATTAGCAATACACATCGGTTGAATGACCTACCTAATACCATACTTACTTCAGCATGGTGTTTCTGGTACGCTCTTAACATGCATGTATACACATGCTATATAAACTACTCGGGTGTGAATCCATCGTTACCAGCCAGATATATGGATAAACCAAAAGGAAAAGTTCGTGTTACTGGAGCTTCAGGATTCTTAGCTTCTTGGCTTGTGAAGAGGCTTCTCCTTGAAGGATATGAAGTTATCGGCACAGTCAGAGATCCAGGTTGCTCTATCCATCTTACTTTTGTTTTGGTTGCCTTTCTATTGCTTTAAAGCTATAGTCAAAGTGAAACTCAATTTACTGGTTGTGACAGGAAATGAGAAGAAGCTTGCACACCTTTGGAAACTGGAAGGGGCAAAGGAGAGACTAAGGTTGGTGAAGGCAGAATTAATGGAAGATGGAAGGTTTTGATAAAGCCATAATGGGATGCCAAGGAGTTTTCCATACTGCTTCTCCTGTTCTCAAATCTATCTCTAATCCAGAGGCATGATGATGCCATTACAAACTTTTTCTGCTTTGTGTAGCATTTGAGAGATTATCTCATGACATCTTTTTTGAAGAAAACAAAATTCTTGTGATATGATGATAGGAGGAGATTTTGAAACCAGCTATAGAGGGCACACTGAATGTACTGAGATCATGCGGGAAGAATCAGTCTCTGAAGCGTGTGGTTCTCACCTCGTCCTCTTCTACAGTCAGGATCAGAGATGATTTTGATCCCAATATCCCTCTTGACGACTCAGTTTGGACCTCTGCAAGCGCTTTCAGGTATAATCATTTGCATAGCCTTTATACATAAAATAATATCCTGATCATATTAGCTAACAGTTTGTGTAAATATTTTCCATGTAAAACAAAAATTAGGTCTGGTATGCATTATCAAAGACACTAGCCGAGCAAGCTGCATGGAAATTCTGTGAAGAAAATGGTATTGACCTCGTCACTGTTCTACCATCTTTCCTCGTTGGACCCAGCCTGCCTCCTGATCTGTGTTCTACAGCATCTGATGTCCTCGGATTGCTGAAAGGTACGAAACATCATCACTAACCTAACAGTTCCCTTTTCCTCTGTTTGCAGATGCTTTATAACTTGCATGTAATATAAACAACAACAGGAGAAACAGACAAGTTTCAATGGCATGGACAGATGGGGTACGTTCATATCGATGACGTGGCAAGAACTCACATCCTTGTTTTCGAACACGAAGCAGCCCAAGGCAGATACATTTGCAGCTCTAACGTTGTCACTCTAGAGGAACTTGTTTCCTTTTTATTACTTAAAAACAAAAAAAAAACAAATGGACGATGAAATAATCTTCTCCTTGTAAAAAAAAAACCAGGTTTGAGAAGCTAAACAGGCTGCATTACGACTTTGACACATCCAAGATAAAGAGTCTCGGGCTCAAGTTCAGGTCTCTTGAAGAGATGTTCGATGACTGCATTGCCTCTTTTGTTGAGCAAGGCTATTTAACTTCAAGATAAATCAGTAAAGTGTTGTTGCACAAAGGTAAAAAGAAGAATGATCTTATAATGGAGAAAATTAAGAAAAGTCAGGATTGTATAATCCAATCCTCTAATTGATCCAAAATAAATAAATAAAGTTTATTCTAGACTTTTTAAACGAGGTTCAACATAAAAAAAAAAAAAAATATTCAATAAGACTATTCAAACCCTTATGATTCACCACCACTAGTCTGATCTGAGAAGGCAATGGAGACTTTGTTGTTGCGAGAAAGTGTTCGAATCGTCTTTTTAAACTTACGGTAACGGTCTTCCAATACTAGGAAGATTTTGTCTAATGTCTTTGAGTTTTTAAGCACGAGTTCCACGAACAAAGTCAAGTGCTTTGACCTTACATCCCAATGGACCGAATCTTTTGATCTCCGCCACAACTGACCAACAGTTAATTCCAATGTCAAACAGTTCTCAAGAAGCTCTGCCTGTAAAAGGAGAAAAAAAAACATATGTTTTTTGGATTCAGATTATAGTTTGGAACATCAAATAATATTTTTTTTTTTAAAAGAGGTTAGATATATATACCAGTTTGGTGCTGCAATGGATTGTGTGTACTGTTAACTTCTCTAAATCATGTGAGTTTTGTAACAAGCTTCTTATACCAGGAATAACATAATGAAAGATCCTTGTCTTAAGTGTCAATGATTTGACATTGAACATTGGAAAAGGATCACCATGAAGCTCGGCAAAAGATAAAACCTAACACACAAAAAACCTTCGATATAAGAAAAGCAAAGCCTAATGCAAACCACTGATTAATCCATCGATAAAAAAGTTTACGAAAGAAACTGATCCAAAGGAATTAGACCATCCCATTGAGGGATTTTAACAAAAGTTCACACCAATCCCAAAAAAAAAATTATTATAATCTGTGTTGCCTGAAAAACCGTGCCGTGCTGTGTGAGTGTTCTTCAGTGAAACGGGTTCAACATTTTTTTGTGGATCCCACGAGTGATCTAAGAATGATTAGTTTATTAATTTTTTTTAAACAAAAATCAAAATAAAAACAAAAAAATAATCAAAAAAATAATTTGGGGAATCCAGCCCTGATGGGGATGCTCTTAGAGAACATGCATGCAAAGAATGGGACCCAAAACGTATACCTGAAGAAGGTTTCCACCAAAAGTAAGTTTGTCAACATGCTGTAGCTTTTCTAGCATTTTCATCACCATGGGTTGAAGAATACCAGCATTGTAGTATAGTCCATTCGTGCAAATGTTGACATTCGTGCACATGTTGAGATTAGCTTCGGTTAAAGACGAGACATCAACTAAAGTACATGGGAGCTGAGAGAATCTCAAATAGAGATAATGTATATGTGGTGCGTCGATATCTTTTGGCCCCGTATTCCAATTGCTGCGCTCTACTACTAATGCTCTCAAACGCGGTGATCTGCTAAGATCAAGATAACTTAGTTCATGGCAACGTTTCAACGTTAAGCTCTCGAGAAATGGACATCCAGATAGAATCTTAGCCATAGATTCATCAGAGACACCACATGTAAGCAAGGACAGGTTCTTGAGAGACGTCCACGACACGGAGCATTTGGGAACCATTTCAAAGTACTCTAAGGTGAGTTGCTTGAGAGAGGAGTTGACGTAGAAGAAGTCAGGAAAACTATACTCGACAAACCAGAAAGACAGGTCCATTTTCTCAACGTGCCGGGACATGACGAACTCTAGCAACTTGTCTATGTGGGGAGCATCGTGGTCCTTGTGGCTTTTGAGGTGAAAGTGCATCATCTTGGGAGCGGTGTAGCCGGTTGGGATTTGGTCAATCAAATCGTTGTCAGGTTTAGAGCTGTTGAATGAGAGGGAAGGTGTGTCACACCATACATGTCTCCATCTTTTTGACAAGAGCGAAGTTCTGATGGCGTATTTGGTTGGAATAAAGGTGAGGATATGTTGGAGAATCACATCAGGTAGCCCGCTGATTTTATCTTCTTTTACTTTAAGCCGGCGATCACCACCGTTGGCACGGCTACGGATTCTTCTAGCGGCGGTGGCGTTCTCTTCCGCCATTTCTAGGGTTTAGTCTCTTTTTTCATGGCATCCTTAGGATTTACTTTTATTACAACAAGCATCATTGTAGGCTTTTACCGACAATGACTCGGCCCAAAAGAATATGTTTCTTATATAACTAAACTTTTTTTTAGGGTTAGATTTATAAAATAAAGAGACTTGTTCGACCAAAAACATATTTTGGCATTGAAGACTGTTACAAAATGCCAACAATTTTTTTGGTCCTCCAAGAAAATTCCTAGAGAAAACCATTTTTAGGAAAATGAATAAGCAAAACCACATGGGTTGAATAATGACCAACCTAATACACATTTACCTTCAGCATAAAATTTTATATTCATCCAGTAACACATGCTATATAAATTATTCTGGTGTGACTCCATCGTTACCAGCCAAAAAAAAGGATCAACCAAAAGAAAAGGTTTGTGTGACTGGAGCTTCAGGCTTCTTAGCTTCTTGGCTTGTGAAGAGGCTTCTCCTGGAGGAATATAAAGTTATCAGGACAGAGATCCAGGTTTCTCTATTCATCTTGTTTCCTTCGGTTGCATGTCATTGCTTTAAAGCTAGCCAAAGTGAGACTCAGTTTAGTGTTTTGACAAGAAATGAGAAGAAGCTTGCACACCTTTGGAAGTTAGAAGGGGCGAAGGAGAGACTACGGCTGGTAAAGGCTGATTTGATGGAAGATGGAAGTTTTGACAACGTCATAATTAATGGGATGCCAAGGAATTTTCCATACTGCTTCTCCTGTTTTGACACTTCCAAAATAAAGAGTCTCATGCTCAAGTTCAAGTCTCTTCTAGAGGTGTTCGATGACTGCATTGCCTCATTTGTAGAGCAAGGCTATTTAATTATCTCATGTTGTTATCCTCTTAACTCTTAAGAAACATGTAATGTCACTTCACAATAAATCAAGAAAAGTGGAGACAAAAGGTAAAGAAGAATGATCTTATATAATATCGAGAAAGAAAAGCATTGAATAGATATCATAACTGATCCAAAAATATATAAAAGTTCATTTTTTGGGTCTAAATAAATAAAAATAAAACAAAATAAAATAATAGTTCATCTTAAATGTGTTTAAACGAGGTTCCTTGTTAAAAAATATTCAATAAGACGAAACCCTATGATTCACCACTAGTATAATTTGCAAAGGCAATGGAGACTTTGTTGTAATTAGAAACTTTCTAAATCATCTTTTTGAACATATGGTATTATTGCTTGTCCAATACTAGGAACATCTTCTCTAAAATGTCTTTGTGTTTTTAAGCACAAGTTCCACGAACAAAGTCAAGTGTTTTGACTTAATATCCCAACGTACCGCATCTTATGATCTCCGTCACAACTGAGCCCGACCGAAGCCTTGAAAAGTAGCGTTCAAGACGAGATGCCTGCAAAACAAGAAAAATAAAAACATATGGTTCTTGGCCTTCTTGGATTCCGATGATAGTTAGGACATTAATTAACATAAAAAAAGGTTTATGGTATACCTGCTTGGTTTTCCAATGGTTTGTGTGTACTGTTAGCTTATTTAAATCGTGTGAGTTTTGTACCATCCTTTTTATAACAGGAATAACATCAGGAAAGAGCCTTGTCTTAAGTGTCAATGATTTGACCTTGAACATCGGAAAAGGAACACCCCCAAGCTCGGCAAAAGATAAAACCTAACATAAAATTTAATTAATGCATTGACAACCTACTCATCCTAGGCATTAGAGAATATACAAGAATGTGGCCAAAAACGTATGTATACCTGAAGAAGGCTTCCTCCAAATGTAAGTTTCTCAACATGCTGTAGCTTTTCTAGCATATTCATCACCTTATCTTGATATTTTCCATTACTGTAGGTTAATAGTTCATTCGTCCAAAGGTTGAGATTAGCTTCGGTTAAAGACGAGACATCAACTAAAGTACATGGGAGCTCAAAGCTCAAATAGAGATAATGTATATGTGGTGCCTCAATATCTTCTGGCCCTAAAGCTGAACTGTTGGGCTCTACTACTAATGTTTTCACACTCGGTGATCTGGTAAGATCAAGATAACGTAGTTGGTAGCAATGATGCAACGTTAAACTCTCGAGAACGGGACAGCCAGATAGAATCTCAGCCATGGATTTATCAGAGACAATACATCTAAACAAGGACAGGTTCTTGAGAGATGTCCAAGACACGGAGCATTTGGGAAACATTTCAAAGTACTCTAAGGTGAGTTTCTTGAGAGAAGAGTTGACGTAGAAGAAATCAGGAAAACGATACTTGTTAAGCATGAGAGACAAGATTAGATTCTCCACGTGCAGGGACATGGCAAACTCGATCCACCTGTCGATACGGCGAGAACTGTTGTTCCCGTTGATATCGAGAAGAAAATGCCTTATCTTGGGAGCAGTGTATCGAGTCAGGGCTTGGTTAATCCTAGCAGGTTTGAGGTGTGAGGTATTGAAGGAGAGGGAAGGTGTGTCACACCATACATGTCTCCATCGTTTTGACAAGAGAGATGTTCTGATGGCGTATTTAGTTGGAGTAAAGGTGAGGATATGTTCGAGGATCTCATCAGGTAGACTACTGATTCTGTCTACTACTGCACCATCACAACCATCGTGGCAGTGGCAACGGACTCTTCTCGCGGCGGTGGCGCTCACGTCCGACATATCAAACTATAACTTGCTATTGATTCTCTTTAGGGTTTACTACTATGTTTTATTACTACAAAACAGCTTTTAATACACGCATCCTATTGCCTCTTGCCGACAATTATTAGGCCCAAAATACTACATTTCGTATAAAACACGCATCCTATTGGCTCTTTCCGACAATTATTTAGGCCCAAAATACTACGTATTTTATAAAGCAAAAATCTTCTTCTTTTTTTGTGTTAGATTTTTATAAAATAAAATAAAACTTCTTCAGTCATCAGGAGATTAAAAAAAAAAAAAGATTTGTCAAAACATTTAACATAGCAGCCAGGGCAGAGGAAACATGTTTGGAGCCGGACATAGAAGATGAAGGACACTATTTAGTAGCTTGAGCGATGATATTGCTTATGGAACCAGCCTCCTCTTTTGCAGCTTCCACCATTTGATCCTTCAACAACAAAACAGACAGAGATTGATATTTGTCAAGACAAATCATATATAAAAAAAAAAAACTATAATCTTTTCACGTCAATGTCTTAAAAAAAAAAAAGAAAGTAAGGGTGGTTACCTGAGCAGATATAATCCTGGCAACTGTTTTCTTGCTTGACTCTTGGAGCTCACCAGCAATCAAAAGCTCATCCAATATGTAATACGCCTAAGAAAGTAACGAATAAAAAAACTAAGTGTTGAAATAATGGCAGAGTGTTTGAAAGATCAAATCAACTTTGTGTTAATAGGTATATTACCTTGTGGAAGTTAAAAATCAAATCAAGTTCACACACCTGAAAAAGATGAAAGATAAAAAGATGATAAGAAGTTGAAATAGAGGTTATGCCAGTGGTAGGTGGGTAGCTAATCAACTCACACTTCCGAAATAACGGTCGAGAATCTCAACGTAGTGATGAATGATCTCAAGGACCTCTAACTCATTATCCTCCTGATCAATACACATACAGAAGTAGAGACTCGCGTATCTCTTGTAGACAACTTTGTAACCTCTCCACTCAACAAAGTTGCAGAGCTTGGGACCTCGGTTCAGAATCACTCCACTGAGCTCACGTATAACCTACACAAACATCAATGTTTTACAATGTCACAAAAAAAATAAAAATGAATGAGAGTGTAATTAAAAGCTCCACTGTTGATTTTACAGACCTTAGATCTTTCCTTCTGCGTATAAGGAGAATACCATTTGGTGAGCCTGACTTTCCCTTGGCGACTAACAAGAAGCACAAAATGTATCTGCGAAACAAACATAGACCAAAGGTTTCACCTTTCATTGTATCGTTTTCAATTTCACCTAAGCATAGCAATTCATAGCTCGTAAAGGTCGCAGCTTTGTCGAATTTTTCAGGGTTTCGCAAACAAAGATTGAAGTGATTAAGGAGGATCGAGCATACGAAATCAAACCCATGACAATGTTCAGATAAAGGTACCGACTTTGTATCTCCAAAGACATCATTTTGAAAATGAAACAAATGCATTCTTAGATCTAAAGCAGAGGAAAACTCAGAGACCAGAGGATTGGATCGGATCAAAACTAAATGAACGAATTGAAGAACAAACTGATTTTACCATGATTTCGTAAGACGGATCAAGAGAAAGACGAAAAATCCAGAAGCTGAGAGAAAAACAATGTTTTCTTTGCTGGAAACTGTCGAAACAGATCGAATGCTTAGGGGTATAATGGTCATTAAGCTTATTCTAAGCGGGATGCGTTTCGGGTCGGATCCATGCTTGGCGATCCGATTCTTACTATCATTTCCAACTTCTTTTTTTTTTTTTGAGCAAACATTTTGACATTTTGTTTGCTTTACTACTCACAAGTTAACAGAGTATGAATATCGAAATTTGCTAATTATTAGAATTTGAAGTTAATAACAACTTCTACATCTCCATCACTGGTCAAAAATGTTTTCATATCGATTTTTTATTTTTTTTATTTTGGGTTTTCTTACAAATAGAATGGTTCATATATATATATGGATCCAGAATTGATGCAAATATATTCATAAATAATCACTGATTTTTTTTTTCGAAAAAGTAATCACTGATATGTTGGAAATAAAATGGTTCACAATCACATACGCAAGGATCTTAAAATATATTTTCGAGTTTTATATTGATCTGAATGTTTTGCTTCTATTAGTATACATGCAAATGCAAAAATTTACACATATTAACAAAACGGATACTTGAAACTATTAGAAAAATAAGTAGATAGAAAATATGGTCATCAGTGTTAGAATTGTGTTCAATGTAAAATATATATATACAAGTATTCTCTCAGCTCTATACCTACAAATGTGTATACAAGTATAGATTTATATGTATAGCATATGTACAATACAACTCGTTACACTTGCTAGAAACTAAAACATTGAAAGGTTTGATGGACTATTATGAAGTTATTAACACAAATCTCCCTCAGATAACTTCATAAGCTTGTAGAGTATATGTTTTGTTGAAGACCATACACTCTCTCGAGAGAAGGCATATTCGCTGCATGCAGGTGTTCTTTTCTTTTCAGGGGGCTCAAGTTACAATGTGTATTTGGGAGTTGACATCATAGAAAGTAGGGTTTTAGTTGTTCTCCCAAAATATTCTTTACCCTTCTTTGCCAGACAGTGGAAGTTCGAATTTATGACCAATATATAACTATATTATATACTGTACTAAATGTCTTGCCAGTCAGCACACAATTTATTATAGCAGTTATTAAAACCTTAATATATGAACATCAATTGACGAATATGAACAAAAATCATTTGCTCCAAATAATTCCTCGCCTAATGAAGTTTTAACTATCAGAACATGTTATATTTATAGCAATTAATCAGTCCAACATATGTCACCAAATAATACTATCTTCTTTTTAAAAACGATTAGACATTATATTCAAAATAAACAGCAAAGGAAAAGAAATTTAAGCTTTGTTATCATTTCACACACCTGATTTTGAAGGAAAAAAAAACAAACAAACCCTAGCTAGTATTCGCATTTCGCAACCGCTAAGATCAAACTCAAACGCAACAGAAAGTGTCACCAAAACGCTAAAACGCAGGTCTAGTAACACCTCCACCTCCACCATCTCCTCCTCCACCACCACCGCCGTTTAGACCAAAAATATCTCCGCCGGAGAACTGAAAATTGTTCATATTCATTCCAAGATTATAGAACGCAACTCCTCCGTTTCTACCTCCCATGTTCGACTCACACATCTGAGCCTCGCTCCTCGTAACCTCCGACGACTGAGACGCCGCCGGCTGTACTCCAGTAGTTCTCGCCGGTGGAGTTTCTTCCTCTTCCATCGGTAACCTATCATAAACTGCGTTTGCAAAAGACGCAGCCATCAAAACTACAGGACCCGAAGCAATCAACGAACCAGCCACATTCCCTCCTACAACCTGTCCTTGACCTCCGGCTAGATACACTGTCAGACCTCCCGCCCCCGGCGGCGCAGGCGGTGGAAGCGCAGTCCCTGTCAAAGACAAAATCTCAAACCGTCCATGCAGCGTAATCACACCGCCACCCGTAGGAGCCGCCGGTTGCCGTATGGTGACGTTTGTGACCGCACCGGTACCGCTTAAAACGCAAACTCCGCAGCCACGACGAGTGGCGTAGGTGGAAACAGCTTCGGATATGTCCGAGCCGGAGGTGACTTCAAGAACGTGGGATCTAAGGACGTTAGGACTATCTCTGGTGATAATCGTTGGAGGTTTGGGTTTGTTTTTGGAACCAGCAGGACGGCCACGTGGACGGCGTCCAGAGGAAGAGCCAGAGGCGGTTGCTGAGCTGGTTGCTCCACCGGTGGGAGTGGTTTCTCCCTTTGCTTCATCTGCTTGATCAGATCTGTTGAGTTCCATGTTATTATGGTCAGGTGGGGTTCTGGAATCTTCAGGTCTCTGTAGATGCAGTTCTTGCCCTAGTAGAGGGTGCATATAACCAGACATCGATAACAAAAACAAGAAACTGCTGCTTGGGTTTTTTTGGATTTTATTTTTGGTTTATAGAGAGAGACAAAGACAAGAGTCTCGACAGAAAATGTAAGTGATGAAGTGGTTTGTCACTGAGAGTGTTTGAAAATGCTGAATTTGATTAATGTTAGGGACAAAAACAAGAAGACGACAAGAGAACACAAAACCCTACTGAATAGTGAGAGAAAGGGATGGTCTACATATGTGAAAGAGGGTCGGTGAAATTTGTCTGGACCAGATCCAGATCTTCATGTGAAGTAATGAATGAAACAAGGGTGAGAAAGGAGTAAAGCAAGAGCATAAAACACACTAGCTATTCAAACACGGCTCTCTTCTTAATTATAATATTACTTTCTTTTTTTTTGTGACATCTGAATTATATAATTTTTACATAAATATACATATGTATAGATATAGAATACTTGGGATTATATGTATGTATATAATAAGAGGGTTGGTGTAGTGACTTTTCCTCGAGGAAAGCAAAAACCAAAGAAAAACTAAAATAAGATGTCGACGACTGAAGAAGGGGATTGATGGATTCTGATTTGTAAGGGTGACAAAAGAAGGAATATGGATAAGTAAATTACGGAGATACATAGAAAGAGATTGCATGTTCATCATTTTTCAAGATAAAGCTGAAGCCAAACAAGAAAAAAAAAAGAGAGAAAAGAAAATACCTTTTGTGACGGTGAAGGCATGGTTTAATTGGTAATATGATGATTACAGAATTTTTCTTTAAAAGACAAGAATTGCGATGGTAGATTGTTATTTCAAGTTATGATGTTTCACTCTGAAGGAAATGTCAATAGCCAACCTAACTTTATGTTAGTGTTATTGTCGATAACTAACACGTAAGGATTATATTAGCCGTCCTCTTTTATTTCAACTATTACATTTCACAAGATTTGGAATCGAGCTTTTATATACTTTCGGTTCCAACAAATCTAATTAAGATACAAATCAAAGTATGATACCATGATAAATATAATATTTTGAAGTAATTTTCTTGGAACCAAAAACATTCACCAGATTCGATGATTCATACTTTCTTTCGTAAGATTTAAATACCAAGACAGAATATTGCAACGGAATAAGCTTTCTGCTAACTAGATAGTATAGGTTTTTTCTTGATTCGGATGCTATAGATCTCCTAAATTAAAACATTCTTAATTATGAAAGTGGGCCAACGAAAAATATTTGAATCTATAAGCAATAGTGTTTATGTTTGTTGTCTTCCTATTTAAATCAATATCATGGAATTAAAAGTATGAATTAGAGTAGTGGTTGGGTAAAGATATGTAAGTCATACACGTTTTTGGAATGTCAAAGTGTAAATCAAGTCATTTTCTTATCTTTTTTTAGTTCTTATATTCACGTGCTCGTACCATTCTAATGATTTATCCGCTGGATAATAACACAAGTTAATCTTCTTTTCAACATATTTGACGAATATTGAATGATGAATGTTATATATAGTGTAGTATATGTTAAAATTTAACCAACGGTAAAATTTAGGGGAAAAAGTTGACCAACGACTACACTTATAATTTCTCAACTCCGCATGGACTATTGTACCTGGTCGATCACTGGAAGGTTGAAGAAAATTAGATTTCGTAGAATTTTGGGCACGTCAAATGTAGTTGCTGAATTTTTACTTTACATAGTTCAATCAACTTCTTGGACATTCTTTTTCATGAAAAACTATTGGTTGCATTTTTCTCAAAAAAAAAACTATTGGTTGCATGTAAAACAACGTCTATAAATATTACTCTTGTTTGAGGAGTATTTATTAAATATGATAAAAAATAGTCAGTTACTATTCGTTCGTAGAACAAAACTGACTGGATTTTTGTTTTGTTGTTGGGAAAATTTCAAGTACAACATAATCATGTATTGACCGTGTTAAATTTACCATATCCCTTTCTTAAAAGATGCATCATTTAATGTTTTAACCATGCTGGTACAAACTCAGAAGGATTGTGTTTTTGAATAAATTCTCTTGAGTGGTGATGAAGTGATCGGACGAGTAAAGGTCAAAATTTTAAAATGAAATTGTGTCATGAGTAGAAGAAGACAATGAAGCTTCACCATTGGTTGTTATTGTGAAAAGAGTGGTGGATTCACATGATGAGCACTTGCCGTCTTCCTTTTTCTTGATTTAAATAAAGCCTTTCAAATTTCTTGAGCCACTCAATAGCATGGCCTCACTTTATATCTTTCTTTTAATTGGTTATTTATATATATCGAAACTTTACATAGGGGATGCTGAAAATTCTTATGCATATCCTTGCAAATGTGTGAACGGTTGATAAAAAAGTTTTGAGAAATTTGTTTTCTACATAATAAAACGTTTCAATTTTTCTTTCTAATTATCCTTTTTTAAAAAAAAAAAAATCATTTCAAGAAAATAACATAAAACATCTATGTCCAAAATTTATTCGGGTAGAGAGCCAACCCCCAACACAAAAAAATAATAGTGGAAGAAAGAAAACACAGATCATAGGGATGGGATTAATAACTTAAGCCACAAGCGACTTAACCTAAAATAGGACCAATGCACAATTTCAAAACATTGCTTAGAGCGTACGGTACTTGTGGAGAGCAATGCTCAGTCTTCACAAGATCTACCAACAAAGGGAAGACGCTCGAGACGTGTCCTTTCAGAGACTCTGCTTCTAATGAACACAAGGCCTCGAGAGAAGAGACAAGCAACGAACTCCTAGCCGTAGCCTCTTCTATCCGATCTGATTCCATAGGAAGAATCCAATGGATTGGTTTTGTCTGTTGTTGGTGTTGACCTGTGCAGTTAAGGTAGATCTTCACGACTTTTGAACATTCAGTGACTAGACGAGACTCGAGTTCTAGCTCTTTGGAGACGTCAGGGTTGCAAGTAACCATGTCTTGTAGGAAGTTCATGTACGACTTGTTAGACTCGTTCTCGAAGTTAAGTAGCTGAGGCTGTGATAGGTTTTGGACAGAACATGCTCTCTTGAATTTCCTACGAAGGACTGTATCGGTGTTTAGCTGCTGAGCGTGAGACGCAATGCATGAGAAGATGTCCGCGAGGATATCCACGTGTGATGCTGGCAATGAGTATTGGTTTCTTCTATATAACTCACTCACAACCTGAAAAAACGTTATAGATGAGTAAAAATTAAACAGAACAGTTGGCTAAGTAAGAAGTAGAGATGGTACCTCGACGATTTGAGACAAGACATCAATGTGTTTCTTTGTTCTTGAGACAACGTAATACATGATGTGAAGGTTATCATCATCAACATCATCTTTATCTACGCTTTGACCAGAAAACGTATCAACATCTTCAATATCATCCATAGTTCTCAACACTTTCATAAAACCCGCGAAAGTAAGCGAGGCTGCTTCCTTGAGAGCCAAGAAAACCTCTGTCCACTCATCTTCAGATGCGCAACGAGCCAACCCATCAGCCAAACGAAGCAAAACAGAGATCCCCGAGCCTGTGGAGCCTTGGACAGGACTCTTTATAAACCCTAGAATGATTGACACAACGCTTGAAAGCTGAGACCTCACTGAGCTGAAAAAGTTGGAGAGGAGATCGACAAGAAGCTGCAATGCAAGTGTTGATGTCTCAGCGTCCCATGTAGTTTCTTCAGTGTCTAGAGAAGCTGAGGATGGTGAGTCACCGCTGCTGCTTTCTTCGAAGAGCATATCGGTTTTACTACGCATGTTGTTGAAGACTGGGAGAATGATAGAGCTGAAGATTGCTGCCCAAAAGGGTTTTGTGAAAAGATGACCATGATCCATCATAATGTTGAAGAGTACTTCTATTGAACGCTTTCTAATCCCTGGTCTCGGATCTGAAGCTTGCTTAGATAAACCTGAACAAATGAAAACAATACTCAAATCTAGAACCGAACCGAAAACCGAAATAACCAAGCCGAAACCGAACATAATTTTTTGTAAATAATCGAACGGTTCCTAAATCTCTAGAACCGAAAAACCGAAGACAGGCCTACTTAACTCATCACTGAAAGCTGAGAGTGAACTTGTAAGTGTGTAGTAGTAACTGAGTAGAAGCCAAACCTGAAAGCAGAGGAACCCAATAGGAAACTTGTTCATCAAGGTCAGTAGCACTCTGTCCATCAGTTGAATCTTCCTTTAAAGCTGAGATGTTATCGTTCTTCAGCTTCTCGTTCAAGAAGAGTCCTCCTTCCGCAAGCTTTACAGCGCAGAAACGAAGAAACTCTATGGAATTGAAACCAATGTCTCCTTCAAACTTGCTGTTTGTGAAGGTTATAAGACATTTAATGCAGTCAGCATATACCGATATCTCAGTCTCGGTTATGCAATGAAAATGATCTCTCACAATCTTCTCTATCGTCTCAAAAGCCAACAGTACTATGTTCTTCCTCTCATCAACCGCAGCAGTTGTGAAAACCTAAAACCAAAGAAGACCAATGTTAGGACACTAGAAATTAAAAAAGAGACATTATGTTTTTGTTTACTTACGGTGAAGACACTTTTCCAACCAGATTGCACATTACTAACTCTACTGAGAACCATTTGAGAAACGCATCTGACTATAAGCTCTCTAATCTCTGCTGAACTGCTGTTCTGCATGACAACAACGAATGGTCGGAGAAACTCATGCTGGAAATGGTAGTTTGCTAACTCCTCACGCTCCAAGAACTTCATGGAAAGCTGACGTAGCGAGTCCATTACAAATATTGCAACTGAGAGATTCTCTGATAAGCCAACTGATACAAAGAAGTCAGAGAGAACGTTCCATATCCGAGACCAAACTAACCGAATCCGGTTCATGTTATAATGCCTGTCACATTGAAACAAATATTCCCATCAACCACATGTATTGTAACTTGTAAGACAAGTCTTAAAATAAGAACTTACGCTGTCTCCACTAGTTTCGTGAGGCTAAAGACACGAGGATCTGTTGGTGACTGAAGCTCCGACATGGAGACTTTACAAAGCGCTTTAACAAAAGCAACTATAGCTTCACTGTTCAACCTCTGGCTATTAGCATAGACATGGTTCAACTCAAAGTTGCCTATCTGATCAAGTAGATTCAGGTTAGCAATGAAGTTCTTGATCTGCTCCGGAGTTACTAATTTGGGAACGGTTTTCACAAGGGAAGTACTATCATAAGAACCTCCTCTGACAACAGCCATCACAGATGGGTTCTGAAGAGCTCCACGTTTCTTTAAATGTGGGAAACCTAAAGCCTTCTTTTCATCTACTTC